TTGATGAATAGTATATGATCGAACTACGCCAGCAGTAGGGTTCCCTTAAAAAACGGAATCGTATTCAGAAATAGAAGTATCTGTCCCCGTATTTAGTGGAAAAGGAACGCACTTTGTCCCGTATTATTGTGAGTGTAAAAAAAAAAATAGGGATGCACAATATAATCGGCCCCCTATCGGTATCGGCCTTAAAACTGAATATCGGACATCGGCCACCCCACCGATATTTAACCCGATATTTGATCAGCTTCTGAGTTTCTAAAGTCTAAAAAAAAAAAAAAAATACTACTTCTTCTTCTTCCTCAAAAACTTCTTTTTTACAGACTTAAAAACTTCTAAAGACGAGGGAAAAAATATTGATACATTAAAATATCCCAATATCTTCATATGCTGATATATTGCCATTTAAAAACACCATATCAATCTCTTTTACTAATGAAATATTGCTATATGTCATCGTTATGCTACGAAATCCCCCGAAAACTCACGAAATGTTGCCACATTTTTATATGTTGATATATTGACGCGGTATCGATCTACTTTACTAACAAAATCTCACAAGAATTTGCAAAACATCACGAGAGTTTGTAACAGAACGATGAAATTTCACGAGATTTTGAAAGTAAAATAGATCGATACCGCGTTTTTAAAAATCAATTTGATATCAGCATATGAAAATATATTTGAGTTTATTATTTTTCAAAGTGTCAGAAATGGATAACAAAACTGCTATTTTCATTGACTACTTATTTTTGTCCAGCTTTAACATCGGCATCGATATCGGTTATCGGCTACATGAGTTTTAAAATATCGGCATATCGGATATCGGCCAAAATCCCAATATCGTGCATCCCTAAAAAAAAAAAGTAAAAAGCTAATGGAAAATGAAGAACCAGGGCACGTTGGATACTAAACTTATGGTAAACTTGTTCCTGGGCCTTGTCCTGCGTTTTCACTGAGCTGACAACATATATGTAAAGATCCAGGATCCCTTCAAGTGTTGCTCACAGAGAAGATAGCGGCAGACAACAGAGTAGCAGCACTTAAAGACAAACAACTCCTCACTGCTGCAAGAGCTATGAGGAAATACAAGTGGAAAAAGTAGGTTATTGCCGCATAATGTGGCATTGAGCTAATGATTTTTGTTTTTCCATTTTGCAACTGTAGCCTACAGTCATTAGCCTGGGTGCCAGTCCGAACTTAGTCCCGCCCACAAGGTTTGAGTTCGGGGAAGTTCGGTCTGGCACTGCTCCATAGTAGCGCGAGTATGATCGCCCACTGTCAGGCGATCCAATCAAATTGTCAGGGCGGGCTTTATATGATGATGAACAGATGATCAACAGTAACGTAATCAACCATGTGACCAAAGCGCGCTTGGGTGACAACAACAATGGCTGCCGCTGGAGAGTTGGGGTGAGTAGATTCTGCTATTAGGTCTGTTCTAGAAGATATCGACAGCAAATTAATTTTAAAAGAGGAGCAGAGAAACGCGATCAAGGCTCATCTTCTTATTCTAGGCGCGCAACTGCACGCTTTGATTTTTGTTGACAACAACTATGCGTCGCTTAACATACGTCACGCACTCCGTTGCTCTTATTGGTTGTAGGTCCATCCAATTTAGTGCAGAGGCATTTTTTTTCCTGGTTCGTTCGAAACACGCCTCATAATCACAGCTCTATGGAGCAGCATCAGACTCAGATTCTGACTAGAATTGAGTAGGACTACGTCAGGCTATACAGTCATTGCATTTAAAGCACGAATATGTTTACAAGTTTGCACAAGTTCTCTGTTCCACCAAAAATGTGCACTATTTATACATTTTTTCATATTCATTTTTACAGTTTGGAGTTAAGCGGGACAGGCTTAAGTTTGTTCATTTGTATTAAAGTGAATTGCTGGATAATAATTTGTTTTTCATGTCACTCACAAATATTCATCTAAATTAATGCAGAGTTGAGTCAAATAGTTAAAGGCGATCGGGTCACATGTCTCTCTTTTTTTTTTTTTTTTCAGGTTATAAGGACCAGTACTCAAGTAGAAGGGGGGGATGAAGGGGATGTCATCCCCCTTCTTAAAAAATCTTGAAAATCATCATCCTCCTTCTTAAATGATCATCTCCCATACCATCCCCTGTGATATTTTATTACTGATTGTGTAAAATTTCTAATATATAATAACAGTAATAGCAATAATATTACCCTTTCAACATTTGGTGGACTGTGGGTTTACGAGGAGCCTGAGCAAAATAAATCAAATCAAATTAGTGGCCTACATGTGACTCTGTTAATTAGACTCACATGTCTGTACAAAACTTTTGCATTCTGGAAACTTCTTACAGCTTGCTTGCGGAGCCTCCCTGCATCGAGAAACCTTCCCTCAGTAACCAACGTCCACACCAAAGGTTGTTGTTGCGTAGCCTGTTTGCAGAACGTATGGTGTTTCCATTTTGCATAAATATTATTTATTTAACTTTATTATAGCAGGAGATTAAATTGGTAGAGTAGCAGCCAAATCCAAATGACCCTTCCCAGTCAAAATCCAGCCGAATGGCTCCAAAATCCCCTCCAACTTCCGGCCACTGGCCTTCTAATGGTTGTGCACATTTTTTTACTCTAACCCTTTCCCTGAATTAAAAGGATTTCTTTGCGAGGTTTAAGGTTTCAAACATTTGTTGTGTTCCTTAACTGAATTTTGGATCGTGGTTTGATAGCATAAAACTAAGATCTTCTAAAGGGGGTCCGTGACCCCTAGAGGGTCCACAGAGGTACTACATGTGGGTTGTGAAAGTTTTGGTTGATCAGACTTTTTTTTTTTTATATTCCCCCCTGCAATTTTTTTCCACTAATTGAAATGTCTTTAAATCCACATTAACATTAAAGACACTGTGTTAAACAGACAAATGGAGGCAGAAGACGTCTTTCAGTCACATTCAGCGACACACAGGAGCTCTTTCAAGCTGGGCACCGTTTCATTCACAACACCTGTCCCATCAACCAGGAATCAGAAATACTTTAATAATCCCAGGGAGGGATTACTTTAGTTACATTACTCCATCTGTAATAGAGTGACTATAGGACCAGTTTGATTTAACACAATTTCATACAATATATATAATTAGGGGGTCCCCGCTCCATCTAGCCATCAGTTTGGGGGTCCTTGGCCTGAAAAACTTTGAAGACCCCGGCTCTAAAACATAAAACCAGCAGAATGATGTGTTAGTCACCCTGCACTGGTTACCCCACTCCCTCTTGTAACTGGTGAGGCAGAGAGATTTGTGCTGTGGGGCCTTCTTAAAGACATGAAAGGAAATGCTTTCCCCAGCGTTGATAACCTTTGGCTGGTCTTTCTTAGTGGTGGAGCTTAACAGCCTTATTTATAAGCAACAACATTTTTGTTGATAGTGTTTATCCAATCTTTGTAAGATAATCGGTGCTGCTGGGGCAGTTATTTGGGTTCTCTCATAGTGTTTCATGAGTGGCTACAGGCTTCCAGGAATTATGTGTCTTGTTTCGTACCCCTTGAATGTTTAAACATTACAAGCACAAACCTATCTGATAGACTTGCACAAAGTAGTGCATAAGTGAGAAGGGAAAGGGAAATTGCTTTTGGTGTGATTTATTTTACAAATGTAAATCTGAAAAAATGGGCATGCATTGCTCCAACCTACTTTAGCATTTTTTTGTTTTTAAATAGCTAAAGTTCAGCCAGAATAAACAGAGAGTCTGTCTGAGCATCAGTTCTCCAGTCTTGGGACAAATTCTCAATTAGATTTAGGTTTGCACTTTGACAGGGCAGTTCTATCACTTGATTGTAGCTCTGGCTGTTTGTTTAGGGTCTTGCTAAGAAGGGAGCCTCTGCACCAATAATGGGTTTTCCTTTAGGATTGCCCTGTATGAAGCAAATTTCATCTTCCTTCCTGTTTCCATTGCTAAACTCCCCCCTCATCCTGGTTCTTAATCCAGCATTTATACCGTACCGCCGTCTAGTAATGAGGTAAAGTAGTTTGTTTTACTAGATTTTATTAGGGAATGTTAAAGGTGAGATGAATTCAGCACATCAGTCATGATTTTTGTTTGTACATAAGCAATAAAGCCATATCTTCTTTTTTGTTCTACTTGACAGTTTAGCACCAGTTTCTATGGAAGAGGATTAGGGCCACTGAAAAAAAAAAAGTTTATTTTATTTCAGTTTAACATGGGAAAAAAGTCAGAATTCTGACTTTAATCTCAAAATTCTGACTTTTTTTCTCAGAATTCTGACTTTAATCTCAGAATTCTGACTTTTTTCTCAGAATTCTGACTTTTTTTATTGTCAGAATTCAGTCAGAATTCTGAGATAAAAGACATTAAAGTCAGAATTCTGACTTTTTTCTCAGAATTCTGACTTTAATCTCAGAATTTTGACTTTTTTATTGTCAGAATTCAGAGAAAAAAGTCAGAATAAAATGTAAAAATCAGTTAACTTTTTTTTTTTCCACTGGCCCTAATCCTCTTCCATAAGTTTCTGTCAGATTCCAATAAAATTACATTAAAAAGCAGTTTGTGCTGTTATTATTTGAACACATTTTCTCTCTATTCATAACAGACTCTTAGAAATAGCAGTTTCTCTTTGTTTATGTTTCAAGGTTTAATTTTATTTTTGCAAATCTTTTTTTTTTTTTTTTTTTATAGCTACAGCACTTTATTTTCCATTAAGAAGGCGCTGAGAGACGTTGTTATGACAAACGGGTCATTAAGGAGGTGTGGGCTTTCAAAATCTCTAATCAACATGATTATCTGTTCTTACTCCCCCCCCCCCCCCCCCCCCCCCCAAGGTTTATTCTGAAGAGCGTCTTTTTAAAAAGTGTGCAGCATTAAGTATAGCTACAGGGTAATTTTCCCCCTTGCTTGTTCAGAGTTATCAGATAAATATCTGGTGAGATGACAGGTTGTGGTAAGGTTTCTCCACTCATTACTCATTTCCCTTTTTTTTTTTTTCTCTGTTACCCTGTTTGTTCACAGATTAGTCAGATGCTTGGAAATGAGCTGAAGTTCGCCGTCCGGGAGCCGATTGGGCTGAGGTGAGACCTAAAAACCTCTTTGACTTCAAATCTTGTGTTAATTTTGGGATGGATCTGTAATGGGATGTTTTTCCTCTTAGGGTGTGGATACTCATCTCTGCTGTGGGTTTCACAGTAATGGCTGTAACAGTAAGTAATTGTTTCATTAGGGGAATCATATTTAAATGTAAAATCATTTAGGCTTAAACATGTATATAAATGTACTCTTTATCAGACAATATTATCCCAAAATTTAGGAAATTTTTAGGGATGCACGATATAATCGGCCCCCTATCGGTATCGGCCTTAAAACTCAATATCGGACATCGGCCACCCCACCCATATTTAACCCGATATTTGATCAGCTTCTGAGTTTCTAAAGTCTAAAAAAAATAAAATAAAAAACTATTTCTTCTTCTTCCTCAAAAACTTCTTTTTTACAGACTTAAAAACTTCTAAAGACGAGGGAAAAATATTGATACATTAAAATATCACAATATCTTCATATGCTGATATATTGCCATTTAAAAACACCATATCAATCTCTTTTACTAATGAAATATTGCTATATGTCATCGTTATGCTACGAAATCCCCTGAAAATTCACGAAATTTTGCCATATTTTTATATGTTGATATATTGATGCGGTATCGATCTATTTTACTAACAAAATCTCACAAGAATTTGCAAAATATCACAAGAGTTTGTAACAAAACGATGAAATTTCACGAGATTTTAAAATTAAAATAGATCGATACCGCGTTTTTAAAAATCAATTTGATATCAGCATATGAAAATATATTTGAGTATATTATTTTTCAAAGTGTCAGAAATGGATAACAAAACTGCTATTTTCAATGACTACTTATTTTTGTCCAGCTTTAACATCGGCATCGATATCGGTTATCAGCTACATGAGTTTTAAAATATCGGCATATCGGATATCGGCCAAAATCCCAATATCGTGCATCCCTAGAAATTTCTATTTAAAAAAAATGAAAATCTGTGTTTTTTTCGTTATCTTCTGCAGGCCAGTTAGTTCTACGTCAGCCTGAACACCTAAATTCGGCCAATCATATATCAACGGTCATCTGTCAATCAATTTTTTTCGGTCATAGCATCTTGATTCATATGTTGCAGCTAATATACGCAACGGTTGAAATCAGAATCCTTTCCTTTCCCATTGAGTTGCGTCCCAGTGTTCACTGGGATGGACGTCTGTGTCTTCGGCAGGCGTAGAGCTAACAGAACTGGCAGCGTTGCGAGGCAAGGGCTCAAACATGTACGGCTGGAAGCCTTCTACACCAAACCAAGCTTCTGCCGCCCTGGCGTCCTCTTCCACAACATCTTCGTCCCCGCTTTCCTCCTCTAAATAAAAAATGGATGACGGAGGAGACTCATCCACGACCTCCGACACTAAACTCTCCTCCTCTTGCATGTTTCCACTGTCCATAGCGTTCCTTGACAGCGTCGTTTCTAAGTCACCAATTTAAATTTCACCGTTGGAACAGCCAATTCCCTACAACTTTAAGTGTTTAAAAGTTTGAATTAAAATATAAACAAAAAGGAGGCTTTAGTCCCAAAGTTTTGGGAAAAAAATGCATCATTTTGAAATCTATCTATCTGCAGATTCATTTCCGCTCTATAACTGAGCATTATGTGGACACATAACTCCCTCTTGTCAGCCTTTCTATCATATCTCAATATCCTCACTGTTCTGGCCCTGAACAGTGACACTGACTCATGAACTAAGAGGCTGTTGGAAGCACAAAATGCTACTGTGTTGACATGACAGAGCTGTGTTCTGCTTTTCTTTTTCCCCACACAGGCTCTGGTGTTTCCCAACCAGCTCTATGAGGTTGTTTTTGAGGAGGAGCTTTCCACAACAAGCATCTCCGTCCGCCTGTACGGAGCAGCTTTGCTCAGTAAGTTAAAAAATTTCCCAAATCTCACAAAGGCACCCGACAGGCAGCCGAGGTCCCGTCATGCACAGCGAGACATGAATGCTTTCATGTTACTGGAACACGGCGTTTTAACATTTATTTATAAAAATGCTAAAAATATGCACTGCTCAACTGCTTTTTGCAATAATGCATTCATTAGAAGTGGCACACACTCTTCTTTCAGATATGACTTAAAGAGCTTTCTTTCTGCAGGAAAAATCTCTCCTTCAGGCTCTGAACAGATGCGGTTTTAATCTGATTCAGTTCAGTTCTCCATGAAGGTACGCTGGAGGCAAGGAGGGCAATTCTCTGGAATACTAACCTAATGCTTCACTTGCCTCTTGTTACCGTGGCTTCATATGTCAAGTTTAAATCTGGGGGGAATTTGGTGGGAGATGCGAAAGGTTTGGAAGCTCAGACAGAAAGGAAATGTACTCTGCTCCGTTTCATTTTTGCAGCTCGTTTACTCTCAGCTCTGTAAATTGAGGTCTATTTATTTTTATATTCCGGGTGTTTTGTACCTTGGTCCTTGACAGGCGACAGACATTGATTATAAATAAGCCAGGTAATTATGCTGTTTGCGCTTTGCTCTGCTCTTAGGCTGAATGTGTTTTATAGATAGGCAGCAATCATTTTAATGGGCCTTTTTTTGAGACGGGGGGCCGTCAGTCAGGCGATTAAAAGGCTGTGATGGTAGAGAGGAGCTTATAATGATTAAAGGCCAGGTAGGGCGAGAGGGAGATAGAAAGAGATGTGTGCAACCAAAGACTGTGCATATTTCACAGCAAAGTTGTAAACCCATTGAGAGTGAAGCTGAACATTTGTCAGAATTCCAGCACTTTAACCCTATAATGCCAAATATATCATATTTGATTCATACGGTTTCTGAAATATTTTGCGTCTGACACCTTTTGCATAATTTAATGGTAAAAACTTTGCTCAAAATTCTATTGTACACAATCAGATATACTTGATAACAGAGGGCAGAAGACTACACAAAAATTAATCTTGACTTATCGCATAGTAATAAATTATTAATATCAAAAATGTATTTCTATTTTTTCTTTTTACATATTTTGTTAAAAGGCCAAATAAGGACTTCAAACCAAAAAAAAAGTAATTTTCTGCTTTGTTTTATTCTTGGATCGGGCTTTAAAGGGTTAATAACTTTGTCCGACTTCTACGCTAAAGCAAAAAACAATCCACTGGACTTTGTTTCCATTTTTGAAGACGTTTCTTTTCCCATCCAGGAAGATTTTTCAATTCAAATTGTCAGAAATAGCGTTGAGTTGCAGGTTTTATACAGCAGCCCAACAAAGCCTTGTTTTTGTTTAGACAACATGCAAATTGGAACGGACGAACGGGTCCCCCCCTTTGGAATGGGGGTCGTTTTACTTATTTTTTTTTTCTGCAAAGCCCCATACCTGTCTGTCAACAGTCTGTCAACAGTGTCCTGTCTGGCAATGTGGCAATAAGAATAATTGTATTGATGCCAAAAAGAGCCCAACAGATTTTAGTTTCACAAGTTGAGCAGTACAGCTATCGCCAGTGTTCCGCTTGTTTCATGCATATAAATTGCTTTATTATAATTATGCAGGGAGTTTTACAGATTATATGGGCACTGCAATAAAAATGGAATCGAATAGGAAAAAATGGAGAAAAGAGGAGAGAAAGAGGAGATAGAAAGGAGATAATGATATAACAACTGTCTATGTCTCTTAAAAGGGGGTTGTTTGCCTGGCTGAATGGGCGAGGTCTTTTGTTCCCCTTTAAAGGGATTGGGGTTGCGATGATAGTGGGAAGGGATCAACTCAGAAATAAGAGATTCACCTGTAAGACTTTTCTCTCTAGGTTCCAGTCTCTGGTCATTAAGCTTTGACTTGTAGATAACAATTTTTCCGGATTTAAATTTCTGTAGTATTTACATTAGGAGCAGAGAGACATCATGCTGGATTACGTTAAAGCAGACATAACTGTTCAGCAGAATGCCAAGACAGGGTTCCTGCAGGTCTTTAAAAAGTCTTAAAAGGCATTGAATTCTTCAAAATAAAACTAAGGCCTTAATTAGAATTAAAATGTCTTAAATCTTTCATAGTCTTTCGTAGGTCTTAACTTTTAAAACATCATAAGTAGGATTATTTTTATTACAATTTATCTTTGTAATCTAAATAAAACGTAAAATTGACAATTTCTTTGGTTCCGTCCCGATAGCGGAACCAATAAAGGAATAGTACACCCAAAACATGATTAGCCTTCATTTTCCACTCACCCCCATGCTGAACAACACTCTGGAGTACTTTTTTGATATCTCAAATGCATCTGGAGATCTGGGAGGCTTCTTGCTGTCTGCTGACATTCAAATAATGGAGGTCTATGGCGCCCGAGGCAGAAAGGTCCATAAAAGTCCACAAAAAACGTGTCAATATTCCTCCATACTGCTCGTCCAATGTATTCCAAGTGTCCTGAGTGGGTAGCATCCAGAATTTACTCGAAACGAAGTAATTTAGTATGTTTTTGGAGCATAAACAGTAGTGTATAGGATTTCCTAAAAGCGCGTTCACGAGTCTACGGAAACCGCGGCAGACCAAACCAGATGAAAGTGCGCATTCAGCTCGGCAAAGAACTCATGCTCTTCCTCAACACTGAAGTCCTCAGACATTTTTCTTTCGTTGTTTCTTTCTTTGCACAGGTAAACAGCACATTTCTTCTTCTACGCTTGCATTATCGGCAGAGCAGACGCTGAATGCGCACTTTCATCTGGTTTGGTCTGCCGTGGTTTCCGTAGCGTCCTGAGCGCGCAGGCGCGCGCTTTTAGGAAATCCTATACACTACTGTTTATGCTCTAAAAACATTCTAAATGACTTCGTTTCGAGTAAATTATGGACGCTACCCACTCAGGACACTTGGAATACATTGGACGAGCAGTATGGAGGAATATTGACACGTTTTTCGTGGACTTTTATGGACCTTTCTGCCTCGGGCACCATAGACCTCCATTATTTGAATGTCAGCAGACAGCAAGAAGCCTCCCAGATCTCCAGATGCATTTGAGATATCAAAAAAGTACTCCAGAGTGTTGTTCAGCATGGGGGTGAGTAGAAAATGAAGGCTAATCATGTTTTGGGTGTACTATTCCTTTAAAGCATTGTTGCGGCCGGGACATTTGGGAGATGCACCATAAAATTTTTGTCTGGAAAATATGAGCAAGTGTAAATGTAACCAAGATTGTCTCCAGCCAAGAGTTTCCTCCATGGCTAAAACCAGGGAACATACATGAGGCTCAGTGGATTTAGTGCAAGAAGTCATTCAAGCTCAGAACGATGGGAATTAAGGCAGTGGAGTCGCACATGCGAAGCACGAAACACAAAGCGTCAAAATGGAGTGACCGAGAAACAGCCGGTATTTCTCAGTTTAGTTCCACCCTTGTCTCTGCAACGCCTCCACTTATCCCCAAATCAAACATACTAAGAAAACCATACAAAGAAAAATAGCTGCAAAAAAGACTTAGCACTGGTTATGTTGGGGCTTTAAAACTGATTTGTTTTGTTCCCTGCTAAAACAAAGTTTGTGAATTCAGTTAAATAATTGTTAAAATATATCTGTCATTTGTGTGTTTTTAGCTTTCTTCCTGTATGGGAAGCTTTTCAAAATGTGAAACGTTAGTGCAGTGGTTTATGTTAAAATAAACCTTTGGGTTAAGTTGTCGCAAGCAGGTTTTTCTTGCGTTTCTTGGTCTTAAATTTTTATTTCAAGTGGCATTAAAAAGTCTTAAAAGGTCTTGAATTTAACTCGCCTTATGCTGTAGGAACCCTGCAAGAACAAAGTTTGTCCCTTGAAAGACTCAGCATACAAAGGGATAGAACAGAGAATAAGCCTTCTTGTTATCTGCTGAAAGTCTTGGTCTCTCTTACAGACCGAATTAATCAGATCTTATCGACTGACATGGGGGAAAAAAAAAAAAAAACTTCAACAACTTCATGCAGAAGAAATACTTTTACCAGTTTGTTTTTCCTCCTTTTTCTCCTTATAGTGAGAACTGTAAGCTAGGAAAGGCCAAAGAACTTCCACTACCGGTTACAGTATGTTTACCTGATCTTGGAATAGTTCAAATAACTCACAGAAGACATATTTTTCATACATTTTACTCTAGTAGGAGTAGCGATACTTTCTAAGAATATTAACTCAAGTAAAACTAGGAAATACGACACAGTAAAACTGCTCCCAAAAGTGGATTTTCTTTCAAAGTTTTACTGAAGTAAATGGAACTGAGTTTATGCTATTTACTTTCCCAAATGGAAAAGCCTTGTCAGCTCAGCTTCACAACTTGTATTATGATTTTGCTAATCATGTTTTCCTGTATTTCTGTTTGAAAAGGAAAATAAAAACATCCAAAATGTACCGCTGCTGTTTTGCTTTCAGTAAGAAAAAGCTATAAATGCAGCACTTTGAGGCAACATGTGAATCTACCGGCTTTGACCTCCATAAGGCCGGCAAGAGCCTAGATTCATTATAATAAATGTCAGCAGAGCTTCAGGGATTAGCAGAGAGGGAGGGGAATGTCTTGCAAGACGAGGTGCAGCAGTAGGGGTGAAGGATGGAGACTCATCTGCCACACAGATGGATCCTGGCAGGGAGAGGATGTCGTCCATCAGCCCTCCCACCTCGCTGCCCACCCCTCCTCCTTCCTATAGCATGCTAGCCTGTTGGTGGAAGGGAACGGAAAGGAACGTGGAATTCAACATGACAATTAAAGCAGAGGCTCTAAGAAGACCTAAATCTAATAAATGATGAACCATCATCCTTTGTACGCGTTAAAGATTATCAAGCAGCTTTAGCAGAACTGCTTTTTTCTGCTTAATGAAACGCAATTCCTCTTTGCTTTAGTTTTTATTCCCAAACCTCTAAACAATTAACCTATAAATTCTCTTTGCTTATATCTTTTTTCTAGGCTTGGCTCTCATTATGTGGAATGGTCTCTACACAGCAGAAAAGGTCATCATCCAGTGGACGCTGCTCAGTGAAGCCTGCTACTTTGCTGTCCAGTTTCTGGGTAATTAACACGTTCCACGGGTTAACGTGTGAATTCTTCTGTCACTATCAGACACGCTACTGCAAACCATTCCTTTTATTTTGCTTTGATAGACATTAGTACAAACCCCGTTCAGTGGGGTTTATCAGTTTTGGATATGCAGACAGTGCCCTCTGGTGTTAAACTTGGAGAATCACAGCTTTGAATCATTTTTTTTGAAGTCAGGTTTGATTTAAAGTTTGGTAACGCTTTCTTTCATGAGGGCAGCTGTACATCAGTAACCATGTAATAAGATGGTAATAATAAATAATAAATAACCATCATTAAATGTAATATTCAATTATTCATCTTAAAACATGTTTTTAAAATGCTTGTTACAAAATGTAATGTCATATTAAATAATAAAAATGGCATTTATTAAATTATTAAATGTCATAGAGGGAAATTACTATATGTATTTTTATCAATCTCCAGTTTGTGTTATTTTTATGTTCAGAAATGTTTGGATCCAGTGATGTAGAACATTGTAAAATCTCAGATAATCTCTGCTGTAATACGCTGGTAACAGCAGAAACAGGCTAATAAAGAAGGGCGGCTCTGTTTCAGGGAACTTCTCTAGAATCACTGGAGATGATTTAACAAAGGAAAGATATTTATAATGTAAGAAACATTATGGGCGGCCCAGAGCATCCTCTTTAGAGGACTGATACCACAACAGAGGCTCTTCAGTGAGGGGCTTCTCTAGAAGCAGTGGGTGAGAGGCAGGACATCCTTCCTGGCTGCCGCCTTTTAGACTCTACAACAATTCACTGAAGAAAATCCCTACAAGATTTTAGAATTTATTTTCCCTTCAGGATTTCTAAATTATTTTTAAATGAATTGAATTAATTTGAAATAACAGAGTAAAGTTGTGGAGCAGTTCAAGTCTAATGTGTTTATAAAGCTAATTTAAGAGCAATAAAACGCAAAAGCAGAGATTAAAAGTACATGAAGCCAATCCACTTAAGAACATCATCAACGGCTTGTCATGATTTTATCTAAAGCTCTGACCCACTAGCCTCGTGAGACCATCCTGATCTCGCGAGCTTTCAAGGTTTCACTCGCAGGTCAGTCTGGAGACTCTCCGTTAAAGAAAATTTGGAGCCGTTCACCAAACGAACGTCCAATCAGCGTTGGCTTTGAGGCGGGTTGAGGTGTGACGCAACGAGAAGCGCGACAGTTCAGTCTAAAGAACATGGCGGCTTCAGCCGATGAAACTAGCGTTAGCGTGGCTATCGAGCAAGTTTTATCGGAATTACAGAGTATTTTTTCACTGGAAGAAGAGCAAAACACTGCTCTGGAGGCTTTTCTCAGAGGAAAAGATGTTTTTGCTCTTCTCCCGACTGGTTTCGGCAAGAGTAGCCTGGCTTGTGTTTTCGTCGTCGCTCTGTTAGTACGTCATATGCTTCGTTGATCTGATTGGTTTATTTGGCCCGTCTATCACCAACATAGGCCAATCAGCTAACCAGTATTTTCGCCCCTTCCCAAAATTACTTCAACGGAAGGTTTCCAGATGGATATGCGGAGCAAATCCATCTGGCGGAGTCGGGTTAGTGACCCACATGCAGAAGAGAAAAAAGAGAGACCAGGGAAAGTTTAACAGGTTTTATTGAGAGTAGGTTGAGAGGAGTCCAGTGCTGCTCTGAACACTGTCGAACTGGGACTGAAAAGCGAAGGGGAAGATTCTGCGGTTAGTTCAGGCTCAGTGGGAAATTTGTGTCTTCGATTTGAAGAAGGGAATTAAGGCAACAGGACTCACATTTCCAGAAAAAGGTGTCTCTTGTTGAATCCAGTCGGTGTGGGTTGTTCCAGTGAATGACTTGCTCCTTGGAGGGAAGACAAACAAAAGCGCAACCCACACAAACTGGATTCCTAACACGGCTAAAAACTGTGCAGTTCAACATTTAATATTATTAAATAAACAAAACAACTACACATTAACCTAAACATGTCGTATCCTCTGCAGGAGCAGCACAGATGCATAGATAATGTGACAATCTGTTAAATGGAAAACTTTAGTTCAGTGCTGCAAAAATCTGCTCTTTATGAAAAGAAAGAATTTAGCCGCTGATGTTTAGATTTTAAAGTTTGTCACATGCTGCGTAGAAGATTCAGCTCAAAAAAGGACAAAAAACAGAACGTTGTGAACATCTTTGAAGACGCTCTGTTCCATCCTGAAAACATGCCAAGTTTGGGAGTCTTTTCTTCAGGGGGGAGAGAAGCTGGTCAAAGATGGAGGAAAGATTAAAGCTAAACTAAAGATAACTTTTAAGAAAACCACTTAGATGCTAATAATAGACTTAAGCTGGGCAGAGGTGCATATACTGCAGGGAAAACCGTAAACATGCAGTGAGGGTTACTGTAGGATAGATTAGATCAAAGCACAATGACGCGTTACAGTGATCCAAAAAAGGTTTAGATCTAAATTCAGTTGTAAAATCAGTTGTATGACTTTGAAATTGTTACTCAGAGTCAAGAGGAGGCCGTAACAATAACCTGGATCAAAGACCACCTGACAAACAATAATCAGTAAAGTTTAAAAAAAAAAAAATATTTTATTTCATAAAATAGCATTTTTTCTAAAAAAACAAAACAAAAATGAGTAAAACTTCCAATCTCTAGATGCACAATGCTGGAGGGACACACTGCAAAAAAAGATACTGTTGCTTTGATGGTTTTAATAAAATAGAGGTTTTTGGTTTGGATGTGACAAAAAAAACAAATGGATTATTAAACCATACAAGATATTGTGTTGCTATTGGAAGAGGAAAGGAAAGAAATATTTATATTGTCTAATTGCTATGGTTTTTTTTATTTATTTATTTCTTTATTTTCTTATCTGGTAAAAAAAAAAAAAAAAGGAATTTAAAGCTATTTTGGAGGATTTTCTCAAATAAAAGAATAAAAAAACACTTGTGCGAGAGCATGCAGGAGCCCAATATTCCTCGTGCACACTGTTTAAAAGTTGTTCTCATAGTTCATACAAGCTTACTGTGTCCAAACATCCGCGCTAACCCCTAAATCTCTCAATCACTATATAGAGCGGGGGATCCATCACTATATAGCAAACTCATTCAACTTACCGTTCGGACAGATGATCACTTCACTGTTGGTCCACTGCACGGTGCCTGCACCATCTTTGTTACTGTATTTTCGCGACTATAAGGCGCATATAAACGTATTTTTTTCCCTCAAAATGTGCGGCGCGCCCTATGTGTGTTGTTACTGCGGATGTTGTTGAGACCGCCATGAGAACGTTAAAGGGGGAAGTGTGGGCGTGGATGGACAGAAACTGCCACCTATGGTGATTTTTAAGAGAAAGACTTTTCCTAAACAGACTTTTCCAGCTGGAGTCGTTATTAAGGCAAATGAAAATGGCTGGATGGAGGAGGAGATGATGAAAGAGTGGCTGAGGGAGGTGTTTGTAAGGAGACCAGGTGGTTTTTTTCCACGCATCACCATCGCTGTTAATCTGTGACTCCATGCGTGCCCATCTCACAGCCGATGTGAAAAACATGGTGAAACAAATGAACGCTGTGCTCGCTGTTATTCCGGGAGGTCTGACAAAGGAACTTCAATTCGACATCGGTGTGAAGCGGCCGTTTAAAGAAAGGCTGCGAGCGGCGTGGGAGCAATGGATAACCGGCGGAGACCACAGTTTCAGGATAAGTGGAAGGCAGCGCCGGGCAAGTTACGCCACAGTTTGCGGATGGATTGTTGATGCTTGGACTAACGTGTCTGCTGGCTCTGTTGTTCGAGCTTTCGCAAAAGCCGGCATTATTTCCGAGGAGCCGCACAGCACGGAAAGTGACTCTGACAGCGAAGAAGGGGAAATTGGCATGTCTGATTTAGCGCAGCTGTTTAATTCAGAAACAGAGGATGATGACTTTGATGGGTTTGATTAATACTTTGTAATAAATACATGAATAAAGCACAATCATACTCAGTTTTGCGCCCGCTGTATTTTTAAATATGCAGTAGAGGTATTTAAACGAAGTAGAGGATATGTACCGGTATATAAAACCCGCGCCCTATAATCCGGTGCGCCTTATGTGTGTGTTAAATACAGAAATGGCACACTGAGACTGCGCCTTTTAGTACGGTGTGCCTTATGGTTGTGAAAATACGGTATTAGTCGCCGTTGTCGGTTGGCAGCAGCCTATAGCGACATTAGACCACTGTGACAGTATATCCCGTAATACTTTGTGAGGAGAGCTCTCCGTGCAAAGCATTCTGGGATATATCTGCCTCTTCTGAGGCCTTTCTCTTCTTCTCATACTCTTCGTAGACACTTTTTCTCTTATGACCCCTCGGCATTTTTCAAAGAACTGTGGTGAGAAAGGTGAGCTTCAATGACTGTCTGAAATCGTAGCTCACCACAGATATACGCCTGAAAGTGCGCATGAACAGAAAAAGATAGCTAACGGGACGAGCACTTAGGACTGTCTTACGTAAATGTATCACCAGAATGATTGACACTTAGGAGGTCCACTTATTCAGATGATCCACCTGGAAATAAAAGATCATCCTCTATACCTTTAAGGTGTAGAAAAACACTTTTTGGCAAAAAAACCCCCCAAAAAAACTGGATAAGATAAATTCACTCCTGAAAAAGACTTTTTGGATCTAATATTACCATAAAATAAATAAATAGAAATGGATTTAAAGAGGCATGAATAAGATGGAAAGTTAAATGGAATTTTCAAGATTAACTAAATAAACCAAACAGGAAAGTGTCCATTAAAGCAAAGCTAGATGGGGTTTTTTTTATGTATATGGAACAAGTTAGCAGACTGATCAATGTGTTTTAATCGATTTACACTTTATCCCTCTGGAATAAATCATTATTAAATAAACAATCCTTTATGGGAAGGGGTAGATATTTATTTAATCTGTGTGCCGTGCATTATAACCTTTATCTGTGTGTTTTGGTCAGTTAAATCATCATGCATGATTAAAATGTTTTCCCTTCTTCCAGTGACGTGCATCACCCTGATGGAGATCGGCATTCTGCCCAACGCCGCCATGCTCCTGCTCCTCAGTCGAGTTCTCTTCTTCGTGGTCACCATTGCTTACTATTACCACCTGGGCCGTAAACCAAAGAAGATGTGAGCCCACCTATGTGACACTTATGATGGGGGGGGGATGAGCTCAAATCACAGCTGAGATTTGGATGAGGGTCTAATTACTTTGTAAGCAAATGCCCTCATACCCCCTTTCTATGGGACCAAGCTTCCTGTAACCCCCCACCCAGGTGATATGAAGCTGATGAGCAGCGTCACATTTCTACCCTCACAAGAAGAAGAACCGTCGCCATGACACCGAGCTGCTCTTTAAACTGGCCTGTGAGGTCACATTCCTCCTCTGCATAGCTCCGAGCGCCGTTGTTACAAAGCAGGACCTTAGCAGTATGCTTGTAAGCAGCCACCTAGATGTATAATTTTTAAATGTACAGACTGCTTTATACCACCTGCTGATATTTCTGTACAGCTATATGATGTCCAGATGAAGTATTTCATGTTTTTTTATTCATCTAAATACTGTTTCCTTCCTCAAGCTCAAGAGTTTCTGCTACAACTAGCCTTAGCTTTATCTGCTAGAAGCCTGATAAACCGCCTGATTCTTATTGGATAATTACTGGGTGACTGACAGCGAACCTCATCATGACCTGCTGAAGACTTTCCTGTCCAGCAGCATGATGCGACCTTCATCTTCCTCGCTGTTCCTTTCAGTCAAGGCCAATTAATCGCATTACTATTAAGACAAAAAAAAAAAATACGTATTAGTTTCTAATTCTGTTATTTCTCAGGCTTTCTGCCTCAAGTTTTTCGAAGCACAACTAGATAATTGTCATGTTATGTGTAGTAAAAGAGAGACCGAACTGGTGTCTTTGCAGACTGTAAGGGTTGACTTTAACATGCGTGAAAATCTAACCTTTAATTTATAATTAGCGGGTCAAATCAACCCTGTTATGATCTCTTAGTAATGTAGCATAGTTTTAAATATTAATAACCATCACCATATCCATAGTTTTGCCTTAAAACAACTTTTTAGAACAGTGGTCAGCACTGCGCTCTACTCCTTGTATATATATGTAAATACCTATTTACTATTATGTGACGTTCTTGTGAACCAAACAGGGAACTTGTTCAGTATTAGTCAATGATACGGTTAATTCTGTTCTTAATTTATCTCACTTTTGTACCTATGTAAATGACGTTTTGTTATCTTTGCATGTGCTAAACAGTCATTTGCATCCCTGGTAAAGATTTATATAAAAGTTTGTCCTTTTTCAATTAAGCTCATTATGAAATCAAACATGTTTTAATAGGAAAAAAGTTCAGAATAAAAAAGGCGTAAATATAATAAAACTTCTGCACAAAACAAAGCTTTGAATTTATTATGTTTAAGACCAAAAACTAGAATCTGAAAGTTGAGATAAAAACCGATTTTCTTAATAATGCTAAACTTTTTTTAAGCAGATTTTTAACAGTGAGGCCCAAAAATATTCATAATGCAGGTTAAGATTTAAAATTATTTTCATTTTATCAAGAAGTTGTTTTCACCTGAATGATAACTTTTTAAAAAATGACAGAAAAGGAGTGTAGATTAAACAAATATTTTTACAATTTATTATTAAACATCTTTGCCTCCTTTTCATCATGAAAATGTTTAGCTCCTCCCTCAGATTCTTCATAATTAACCTCATGCTAGATCGGAATTTATAGAAAACTTTTTATACATCTTTACCAGGGATTGTATGCATATAGAAAAATGCTGTAAATCCCCCTAAAAAAATGTCTAACAGCCTGAGTAGCAGACCTGTAAGCCTAATTTATAGCAAAAGATCAACACAGACAGTCAAAGTACATGTGCCTAAACCAGATATAAATATTTATACATATTTCTACCTCTAAATTCTTGGCCAGGATGTTGGAAAGAAAACCTTGCTGAGGTTTTAGAAATGTGCTGAAAGCTCTTATTTGTCAACTCTGTCAAAGTCCATCAGACGGATGAGAAACGAAATGTTTGATAAGTTTAAATCCTCAAACATGAAAAAGGCGTTCAGAAAAGAAACGCGCTGAAGTCGTTCGGAGGTGGTCCACCATGTTTGCAGCGACCACAGAAGGGAGACGTCCGGAGGGGTTTTTGGTCAGCAGCTGCAGATTCAGCACTGAAGGAAATGTTCACCTTCCTCCCCCCCCCCCCCCACCCCCCCCCCCCCCATGTTCCAGCTCAGATAGGGAAGCTGAAACATGGGTGAGGTCTCCTGTACCCTTAAAAGGCAGCAATTATCTTTTTTTTCCTCAATGTTTAATTAGAAACTGCGCAACCGAGTAACATTGTGTTGGGCTAACCTAACACGGCTCACGCAGACTAGCATGATAATTAGGGAGTCGGATAAAAGTCCGTTTCCATCAGCGCTGTAGGCCTCAAGTGATCGGCCCTGCGAAACGTTTAAAGGTCTGTAAGGCAGGTTTATTTTTGGAGGGAACAGCAATTTTCCAAAAGGGAGGCAGCAGAGCAACTCTTTCATCTTAACTGGTGTTGCAAATTAGAGAAATGAAATTAGAAACTAGTCGTCTTAAAGTTTAAAAATAGTCACTCGATTCCCTCGTTCAGCATATTGTGTTACAGCATGTTCGGCATATCTGTTCAAACTGTAGCAAAGTGTTTCTTTATGTATATATGTGGGATATTGTACATGATAAATGAATTGTGATTGAATTCTGATTATTAGTTTGAAATAATAAAATACACGTTTATTACTGGAAGTTCTGAAAATGAAGTGGTTTTGTTACTTTCCCTGTCTGTCCAGTGGATGTACAGCAACAGCTCTGATGAAAAATTTTATCCCTCAAAAAAAATATGATATTCTGGTCTTTGTGAAACATTTCACTGGTTCTGTGAAGAAGAAATAAAACGAATATAGATCCAAAAAAGAAAGCTTCAATGAGGGAGGGTCTTTGGAAAGAATATAGTTTGTTTCGTTCTGAGTACAACCTCTATTGGTCCATGAAAGCATATCTCAACTCATCCAGCTCACATTTTCTAGTAAACTTATACAAAATTGTCAATTTCCTTGAGATGAAAATCAGAAACTTTCTTATTAACTTCCCAGAGCCCAACTACTGTAGTAGCCATTCAAAATGTCCCAACTTTCCTTGATGAACCTTCCTACAATTCCTTTATAAGCATCAATCTTTGTACTAAAATATTCTTTCTGTCAGGATTTGTGGACATTAAGATCTAAAGGGAAGCTTCATCTCCTGGTCAGACCCTGTAATTCAGTGAAGGATGGAGTCGGAGTAAAAAAACAGGGTTTCCGCTGGTCATTAAAAATCATTAAAAGTCATTAAATTATTTTTTTTTAAATGAAGCCCTTAATTGGGATTAAAATTCATTAAATGTGATTATCGTGGCATTTAAAATGCTTTATAAAAAAAATGTAAACGTTTATAAAAACAATTTTTCATCGGATATATCGCAATATATTTGCGCTTAACGGCTTCTGGTTGATCATAAAGTCGTATGATCGGAAAAGAAGCTCGAGGCGAGGCGGAAAAAGAGCTAGAGAAATGCAAATTAGAACCAAAGTGGTAGCTCGAAAACAAGGAAATCAAGACATGGCTGCAGCCTGTCGACAGTAGAGATGACATATATCCATCCATCCATCTTCCTCCGCTTATCCGGGGTCGGGTCGCGGGGGCAGCTGCTTAAGACGGGAGGCCCAGACTTCCCTCTCCCCAGCCACTTCTTCTAGCCCCTCAGGAGGAACCCCAAGGCGTTCCCAGGCCAGCCGAGAAACATAGTCTCTCCAGCGTGTCCTGGGTCTCCCCCGGGGCCTCCCCCCGGTGGGACGTGCCCGGAACACCTCACCAGGGAGACGTCCAGGAGGCATCCTAACTAGATGCCCGAGCCACCTCAACTGGCTCCTCTCGACGTGGAGGAGCAGCGGCTCTACTCCGAGTCCCTCCCGGATGACTGAGCTTCTCACCCTATCTCTTAGGGAGAGCCCAGCCACCCTACGGAGGAAACCCATTTCGGCCGCTTGTATCCGGGATCTCGTTCTTTCGGTCATGACCCAGAGTTCATGACCATAGATGAGGGTAGGAACGTAGATCGACTGGTAAATCGAGAGCTTCGTTTTTTGACTCGGCCCTCTCTTCACCACGACAGACCGGTACAGCGCCCGCTTCACGGCAGACGCTGCGCCAATCCGCCTGTCGATCTCCCGCTCCCTTCTTCCCTCATTCGTGAACAAGATCCAGAGATACTTAAACTCTTCGAGGAGGAGATTACATTTATATAGAGTCATTGGTACTTGTTAGCATTAAAAATAGTTACTCATTCCTGTTTAAACCCTGAAAATAAAAAAAGCACGGCCAGGAGAAGGCGGGGGTCACTCCAGTGGCTGGAAGTTGGCTGGCGTTTAACTGGGAAGGGCCATTTTGAAATGCTGCTACTGTAATGCTTCACTCTGACATCACTGCCCATATATGGTAGCAGTAAAAATTTCTTTTATTCCTAGCTCATAATCTAAGAGCAAATTTTGACAAATTAATAATGAAAAAAATAAACTCGGTGTCCTGAATCTACATCTGTTGATTTATAAAGAATTAAATTTAAACAATGTTAAACAGTTAACCAAATTGCTCATAACGGAAACCAAATTCCCTTCAACATGTGAGAACAAGCAGATGAGCTGTTTTGTAAGCTTTTCTTTAGTTTTTTGTTTTCAGGTTGTGAAACATGTTTAAACTGGCATATCTACTATCTAACCCCTCTAACCGTTTCTTTATTTTTTTACCTATCCTAACCGTCTGCGTTCCATGTCCACAGATGCTGGTGTTGGTTTATAAAAGGGCATGATACGACCAATGAGATGAGTATGTGTGCTCTGGGTTGTTTATGTCCTCAAAGCGCGGCTGTATCTGCGTGTGTGTAAGCATTCTCAAACTTTCCACGCCATGAACTGGGTCCTGGTTTATTTCATTGGGTCATGGAAGTAAACACCACAGCTGAAGCTCTCAAAACAGTTCATGAGCAACAAAATAGCCCTGAAATGCGTTTATGATTTAAGAACATGGTCAGATATATTATTTTGGTCCCATTTAATACTTTCAAATGATGTTATATCACAGTAGCCTATTATAGGTAATTTAATATACATTAGATAAGTTATGCTTTTGGTTAAATACACATTTTTAGGAGCTTTTCTTATCAGCTAAAATTCCAGATATTACAGCAAGTATAGCTAAATTTAATATATTCAGATATGGATTCACTTTTTTGTGTTTTTATACTTTTATTTTTAAGTAAAATAATGTGAAACTTGAACAAAATGAGTGTCCTCATTCCAAAAGTTAAAAAAATAAATAAAAAATCCACTGGACTTTTTTTGTCAAGTTTGAAGACATTTCGCTTCCATCCAGGAAGCTTTTTCAATTAAAAATTCATTCTTCAATTCATTTTGAATTGAAGAATCTTCCTGGATGGGAAGTAAAACGTCTTCAAACTTGGAAACAAAATCCAGTGGATTGTTTTTTTTTAAGTTTTTTTGGATTAACTATGACCTGGATGACTGGGAATCCTCACCAGCAGAGTTTCCTCATTCTTCATAATGTTATTAAATATGTAAAAACCTTTTATTTAGTTTTATTCATAGATGTGTGTATGAATAGTAGCTTTGCCTCGTCTGTTCCTGTTTGGCTGTGACTCCATCCTGGAGAGAAATATCAGCTGTGCTGCTTCCATCAACACCCTTGTTTATAGATGCTGGAGATCGGCCTGTTTTCCAGTGTGGTCCTGTTTCTCTGACCGTGACTAACTGGATGTGCTCTCTTCGTTCTCTGACATGGGAGCTGGCTCGGAGCTCGTCTGCCTGGCTGGGTGTCTCCTGGACGGGGCCGCCTTTTGCAGCTGCCTATTGTATTTATGCTTCTTTTTCTATGCCTGCTTCTGTCTCCTTGTCTCGCCTGGTTCTGCTGGAGGTTTCTTCCTGTTAAAAGGGAGTTTTTCCTCTCCACTGTTGCTACAAGCATGCTTAGTGTGAGGGATTGCATTTGAGTCAATGAGTCGATGCAATCAACTGGTTTTCCTTAGATAGAAAACTTTGAATCAGTTTGACTATATGATCTGGTTGAACTGTAAAGTGCCTTGAGATGACTTGTGTTGTAAATTTGGCGCTATATAAATAAACTGAATTGAATTGAATTGTATATTAAATTATAGTACAAGTTCATTTTGGATAATCTGAAACTAAGTAAAGTTCTTTCTTTTTATGTGGCAAAATAAAAGAAAATCCAGTCCCTTTGCAATTCTTCAGTAGTCAGAAATTATTGGGTTTATAAACTTTAATTAATTGGCATTTGGAATAATTTATTTTATTCAGATACATTTAAATTCATGTTCTTTTGGAGAACTTAAGCAGTTCCCTGATGCGTTGTGGCAGGAAAGGGTTAACAGGAATAGATGACGTCTTCCCCCGCATGGTGGGGGTGTGATCTCTCCGTTCACTCACTCACACACTCACCCTCTCTCTCTCACACACACTCACCCTCTCTCTCTCACACACACTCACCCTCTCTCTCTCACACACACTCACCATCTCTCTCTCACACACACTCACCCCAGAAAAAACAAGCGGCGCAGACAAACATCCAGTTTGTTCCCTTTACGCGGCGCGGTGTGAGCGCGCGGAGCAGCAGAGGACC